GGGGGGGGGGGGGGGGGGGCGCGGTTAGTGCTGTGACTGACCAGGGGCAGAGATGGGAAAGGCCACGAGGCTGCTGAAGGTCTCCAGGGCCAGCATCCCAGGCGCCCTCTCAGAATGTAGGAAACTAGACCAGGAGGAGAGGGGAGAAGAAGGCCTGGGCCAGGGCCTCAGCAGCCCAGAGGACCCCAGGTGGGAAGAAGAGGGGCCTGAGAGGCCAGCGCACCACTGCCTCTGCCCTGTGCTGTCTGGTTGGTGTCGAGTGCAGCGTCTCCTAAGGACCACATCTATTCCTGTTTCTATGCTATGCTAGGGACACAAAGCACCGTTATTTTTCACAGGATGCACAAACAAGTCAAACCAAACCACTGCGCAAACCAAACGTGCAAAACAAAACCATGTACACGTGCCTGGCACCAGCCTCGTGCCTGTCCCACCCCCCAGCTACCCTCTGGGCCTGTGACTCCCAGAGGGCATGGGTGGGGGAAGGAAAAGCTGGCAAAGGGCACAGGGTGTCCCAACCACACCCACACCCAGGGGGTCCCAACCACACCCACACAGGGCCAGAGGTGAGTCAGGAGAAACGGGATGTCCTGGGCATGGCTGGGAAGCTGACACCTGTCTGACTTGGGAAATGTCACCATGGGGCCTAAGGAGGTGGGTGGGGAGGCCTTTACTTTTACAATACATCTGCTAAAGTGCTCTGGACACCTGGCCGCCCAGCCAGGGGCAGGGCACTCAAGTCTGGGCTTTCCCAAAGCCAGCACGTGGAGGCAGGTGTGAGAGGAGGGGCTGGGCCGGGCTCTATGCGTTGGGCTCTGTGCATAGTGTGGGCTTCCTGGGCCCCAGAAAAGCCCGCCGCTGAGGCCAAGGCAGGAAAAGACTACAGCAGGAGGAACATATCTCAAAGTGCCTGTCAGGGTCGGCTCGAAGCACAGTGAATCACGTTTCAGACATGGGGAGGGCTCCCGGGTCCTGGGGCCCCCTCAGGTGGTTTGCTGCCCAGCCCAGCCTCTCCCGCCCCTGCAGCTGCGGCCGGAGGGTGTGCGGGCTGGTGCCAGCGGTGCATCCTCACTTGGGGGCTGGTCAGTGCCTTTACCAAATGCCACTTGATCTGCCTCCCGGGGGAGCGAGGATCCGAGCCGAAGCTCGCTTTGGAACATGGTCATCGATCTGAGAACCTGCAGGAAGGAGGCACAGAGGGTGAGTGGGGCTGCTCCTGCCTGGTGACAAACCACAGCCACCAGCTACTGCAGGCATACTACGTCAGGGGCTGAGCTAAGCCCTCCATGTGTACTGTCTACTTTCATCCTCATGGCAACTCCAGCCCATTTTACAGATGAGGAAACTGAGGCTCAGAGGAATTACTCAACTTGGCCCATCTTATGTAGTGTGTAACTGGTAGAGCTGGATTTGAACCCTGGTTTTCCTAATTCGGAGCCTGCATTCTTAACTGCCCCACCCTGCCAACTTCACTGCTGCCAAGCCTGGGCATATAGTCTCTTGTGCACACAGACCATGGGTTGCCCATTAGCATGCGGGCCTTTGTACACATGCCTCGGTGAGTAAATAAGACAGGGAGAAGGGAGGACGCTCCATTGTTTTAGAAAGTGAGCGAACCATACCCCAAAGGCCCCACATCTTGAAATCCCAAGACTTAGAAAGGGAGGGTCTAGTGCCCCAAAGAGCACAGTGGGACATTCTTCAGCCTGTCCTACCTAGGACAGACAAGATTTGGGGCGGAGGTAGGTGACAGGCTGCCTGATGTTTGCTCCTCCCAGGGGAGTTCTTCCTGGCCCTGGCTCTTGAGCGAAAGCAGAAGAGGCCAGCAGGGACTCAGATCTGGGGTCTTGCCGCTTCTCGTGGGGCTGTGCCCAGGCAGCTGCGGGAATCCACATCCCAGACTGGCACAGCCTGGGTGTGTGTGGAGAAGTCCTCCAGTCATGGGTCCCTTTCTGAGTCCTGGCATTCATGTCCCATCACTGGTGGGAGCGGCAGTGGCCCTCGAGGTGGGAGAGCCATTATCTCAGCAATGAGATTGGCTCTGAGAGGACGGGGAGAGTGGTGGAGAGGACCCCTTCTCAGAGGCTCCTGGCACCTCCAACAGGAACCACGTATCTTCTGCCACAAGGTGCTCCTAGCACAAAGCAGGCAGGCCCCACTCACTCGGCATCCTTGGGTTGAGCCCTCCACCTCTCATATGAGGATGGTTTGTGTATGGGTCTTGCCTTTCCAGAAAACTCTATGCTTAAACATCCGAGTGGGAGGACCTGGGTCTTGCTCCTCTCATGGTTCTGGCTCCAGCAAAGCTCTTGCAGAGCAGATGCCTGGTGTCTCTCTGGGGTAGTCCTAAGACTGCTCAGCCGTATTCAGGAAGACCCAGGCCCCTTGCCCCTTTTAAGCGGTGGTGAGTTTCTACCAAAGCTGCCTGGGGGACCAGGGCATCTTGCAGACTCTGCTTGCCTGGTGTCTCTCTGGGGTAGTCCTAAGACTGCTCAGCCGTATTCAGGAAGACCCAGGCCCCCTGCCCCTTTTAAGCGGTGGTGAGTTTCCACCAAAGCTGCCTGGGGGACCAGGGCATCTTGCAGACTCTGCTTGCTCTCCACTGAGGGTTACCATTTACAAGGCAAAGACCCCCGCCCCCCTTCAAATACTGCAGAGCACCCAGGACATGTGCTGTTGACAACAATGAAGTTGGCACACAGACAGCCACGGCCTAGAGGAGCCCATGGCGCCGCATGTTGGTGCTGGTGGGAGGGGCAGGAAACAGATCTTGACATTAAGAACTAGGACAGGACACTTCCCAAGAACCCAGAGACTACAGACAGAGTGGGGCCAGGACATGACCCATGGGACAGAAAGATAAGGAAAGAAACTGGGAATCAGAGGTCAAGCAAGAAAAATATTTTACTTAGAATTAATAAAATATGTATAAGGGTACAAAAAGTTCATGGAAAGATTCCTATTATCTTTTAATTCTATTTTTTCCATGAACTTTTGGCAGTACCCTCATATGATACAATTCCTGGTAAAAAAGAAGGTGAAGACAGGGCAAATGTGGGGGACAAGTGTGGGAAGGGAAGAGGGAGGAATGGGAATAACAGAAATCACAGAAAACAGGCCCTGCAGAGAGGCTGTGAGGAGAGGGCTGGTCCTCCTGAGCCCAGGTCATCGCCGGGGCACCCTCTGTGTGCACAGCACTCAAGATGTGTCAAAGGACAGAAATACCTGAACTTAGAAAACATGGAGAGAGCCCAAAGGGGGTCATGTCCCCCCTAATAAGAGGGGACTTCAAAAAGTTAATGAAAGATTTGTATGATCTTTTAATTCTATTTTTCCATGAACTTTTTGAAGTGTCCCTGTATTTGTGTGTCTCTGATACGGAACACCCATCACAGGACATGGGATGGGGTGGGAGGGGGGGACGCAGAGCAGAAGCAGGCAGAGGCCCGCCGCCTGGGGGGGGTTCTCTCCTCCTGGACTCCCGCCCTCCTCCCGCCACACCCTTGTTCCCTCTTACCAGAGAGGCTGAAGCTGGATTCATGAAGGTCCCGCATGCCCCCATGTCGGGTGACGGGCCGGGTAGGAGTGTCTGCGAGCGGTGTTCCCATCTCTTTTTTCCCGGGATGCACAACCACAGCGACATCCCCCAGGTAGGGGGTGCGGTCTACTCCCTTAACCTTCAAGGTCTAATGAAGAACGGCAAAAAAGCGAAAGGGAAAGGACAACACCATCAGAGCCAGGTGGTAGGACTGCAGCCTCCTAGATGGCTGACGGGGCTAGATGCTGCCGCATTACTGCAGGTGACAAGGCTTCTTACACCTCGAGTCTAGGGGCTGGAGATATCTTTTTGGTACCTCCTAAATAGTGTGCATGCATGTGTACACGCACATGTGTATGTGAGAGGAGAGATATTCGCTGGCTCCCCCTCAGCACTGGTGGAATCCCCACCATGGTAGCAGGTAGGCTTCTGAGCTATTTACCATGGAGAGCACCCCTCACATGAAGCAGTGTTATCTCCTTCCTTGTCAGGCTCCCAACATGCCCTTTTCTGTGGTCTGACAACTTTGTGGGGATAGAGGTTAAAGACAGCTGGTCTGGAGGTGAGAGTCCCCCAGTAGCAATACTAGTTAATTCTGTACTTACAAAGGCAGCAGTGTTAACAGCCTATATTGTGAAACCAGACGGACTGGACTGCAACCCCAGTTCTGCCCCTTGTAAGCTGTGTGAGCTTATGCAAGTTGCCCAGCCTCTCTGTGCCTATTCCCTTATTTGTAACATTTGGACGATAGCAGTACCTACATCATGGAGTTGTTATGAGGTCAAATGAATTAATACGTGTATATGTAAAGCCCTTAGAACTGCTTGGGCACATGGCAAACGATACAGAAGTACTAGCAGTTATAATTGCAAAGGTAGCAGTACCTACATCATGGAGTTGTTATGAGGTCAAATGAATTAATACGTGTATATGTAAAGCTCTTAGAACTGCTTGGGCACATGGCAAACGATACAGAAGTACTAGCAGTTATAATTGCAAAGGTCATTTATGGTGCTTCCCCATATTAAAAAGAGCTATTGTGAGGAGGAAGAAGTGTGTTGGGGTGTGTGCACGTGGTCTGATGGAGCAGCACAGACGACCTACACCCCAGGCACTCATCAGGGACATAATCACGAACTCCTTGCTGTTTGCTGCTTATCAAAAATCTTGTTGAGAGAAACAATCGATATCGGTGATTTCTTGAAGGCTACATATTCCTTATATTCTTTGACAAGATATCTGTAGTTTAGCTCTGCCCTCAGAGTGCCAAACCTGGGTCTGAGCTGTTTTGCCCTTTACCAGGCTGCACTTTGGTGTCCCCACATCAGGGGTCAGGGTCTAGTGGTGAGGGACTGGAGCACAGACTCTGTGAGTGACCTTGGCAGGTCACAGCTTCTAACAGCCCCTCGCTTCTTGGCTTTATACATCAAGTCCTGTATCAGAGCTGCTCTCTTCTCCGAGGTCCCTGCTCTTTATACTTTTTAGAAAATATGGTTATTTAATAGTTTTCTTTTTCTGCATGCCTGCATTCTGTTACCTAAGGGCTATAACAGAGAATGGGAAATACAACTGGCTTCTTCTTGAGGACTTTGAGTTGTCATTATAATAAGTGCTTTAGATAAAGGGACTGTGTGTTGAATTTGTATCAACCCAAGTATACTCATTGAAATGTTCTTTCTGAATTTTTTTTATCAACCTGTTTGCTTATTTTTTTTCCCACTTAGAGATAGAGAAGAGAGTAGTAATAGCTAACATTTATTAGGCACATATCACAGGCCAAATGCTGTTCTGAGAACTCTACATGTATTAACACATTTAATCCTCACACAACTCTATGAAGGAAGTAGTATTATTACCCCACGTGCAGAGGTGAAAGCTAAGGCTCAGAGGGGTTAAGCAACTTGCCCGGTCACACAGCTGTCAAAGAGTGGAGCCAGGTTACACATAAGCCTGGCTCTGGGTCTTGCTGGCTCAACATTGTAAGCAGGTCATGATCTCCATGTGCTTCAGAAAGAAGGTGACAGTCTACTTATTATCGATTCCAAGGCTTGTGCAGCCTTTCCCCCAAAGTTGTTTCTTGTTCTTAATAAAACACCTTCCCCATCTATCTGTATCTTTTGGCTTTGCTAAACCTTCTATATGGTGTTTGCAAAGTAATCCCATCTGCTTCAAAGACCTTACTTCTTTCTAGAAGTTGTGAGCAGGGGCACTAGACAGCAGATAGATGATTTTGTTCTATTCTCTCAGCTTTCTCCACAAGGGAAGATGGCTTGCCGCAGCTTCTGCACTGGTGTCATCTCAGCTCACCACCAGAAGAGCTTTCTTCCATGGTTCCTTTAGCAAATTCCTTGGGAAGTGCTCTAATTGGGTCAGGTTGGGGTACGCACCTTCCTCCTCCCCATAGTTGACTGGATGGAGATTAGGAATTGGCAGCTTCATTACAGCCCCAAGATCAAAGTGGAAGAAAGGAGCTGGTGCTCAAAAGGAGAGATACGCGATTCCTAGAGTAAGCAGGTTCCAAAACAGACGTCCACCACAACCCCCAGTGGGTGGAAGCTCAGGGTCCTCAAATAAAGAACATTAAGGACAAACTGGTCTAAATGGGACCTCACTTATTCAGTAACTACCTCTTAGTAGTGCTGGGTCTTCAAGTCTCTCTTGGATTCAGCTGAGGCGCTGCATTCATGAGAGTGCAGGAATATCTTCAAGAACTGCATTTTCCTTTGTAGTTTTTCCATGATGGGGAGGATTTTATACCTTGGTGTGAGCTGCAAATTACCTAGTCTCTGTCTGGTCCTCCAACCTCTCCTTATAATGGCATTAGGCTTTTGATCACCAGTTCTGGAGGAAGCTTGCTCCTGAGTCCTGGAGTCCATGCTCCTCCCCTGCGGCTGGCCGAGGAGTGGTCTCCTGTGAGTTGGTACTATCTTACATTGCTGTGAGGCTGGCTTTCAGAAGCTTGAAACACTTTCTTGGCCCTCTTTTGACCCTATTCCCAAACTAAAATATCTTTTTTAGGAATTGCCACAGACTGTTGTCAGATATTCTTTTTTTTTTTCCTTTTTGTCTTTTTTACTGACCGGTAACGGGATCGCAACCCACAGTGTCGCACCCGTACTGGGGACCGGCAACGGGATCGCAACCCTCGGTGTTGCGCCCACACCGCGCTCAGCCAGTGAGCGGGAACGGTCTCCACATGGGATCCGAACCCTCGGCGGGAGTGCCACCGCGCTCCCAAGCAACGCACTCGCCAGTGCGCCACCGGGCCGGCCCGATATTCTTTTTAAAATTGAGATATAATTCACATACCATAAAGTTCACTGTTTTAAAACACAACTCAGTGGGTTTTAGTATGTGCACACAGTGAGCCATCACCATCACCACTCTCTAATTCCAAAACACTTTCATTGATCCAAAAAGAAACTCCATACCCATTAGCAGTCACTGCCCATTCTGCCCTCTCCCCAGCAGTGACAATCACTAATCTACTTTCTGTCTATGGATTTGATTCTCCTGGACATTTTGTATAAAAGGAATCATACAATATGTGGCCTTTCGTGTCTGGCTTCTTTCACTTCCAATAATGGTTTCAAGACTCATCCATGTTTTCTAGCATTTATGGGGTACTCCATTCCTTTTTCTGGCTGAATAATATTCCGCTGCATGGATCTGCCACAATCTGCTTATCCATTTCGTAGCTGACGGACATTTGGATTGTCTCCACTTCCACTTTTTGGCCCTTATGAATAGTGTTGCTATGAAGAATTATGTACAAGTTTTTGTGTAAACATAGGTTTTCATTTCTCTTGGGTATATGCCTGAGAGTGGAATTGCTGGGTCATACAGTCACTCTATGTTTAACTTTTTGGTGACCAGCCAAGCTGTTTCCACAGTGGCCACACCATTATACATTCCTTCCAGCAATGGAGGAGCATTCTAATTTCTTCACACCCTCACCAATCCTTGTTATTTTTCATGTGGTTTGTTTATAGCCAACCTTTGTCAGATACCCTTGCATGTGAATGCATTGCTCTTACAGCTCTTTCTGGCACATCCTCCAGAGGTAGGGCTGCGGCCTCCTGCCCATTGTCCTTGTCTGGGAAGTGTATTGGAGATGGGACCATTCGCTTAACTGAGAGACCCTGAATTTGCTTTTGGATTTAACACTGCAATAGCTAAAGTCATGCTTTTTTCAGGCAACCCAAGTCTAATCCCCTACAGCAGACCTGGCTGTGGATTTCTTTGCCTGTTGGCCTCTGGGAGGCCCATCTATCTGTATCTTTTGGCTTTGCTAAACCTTCTATATGGTGTTTGCAAAGTAATCCCATCTGCTTCAAAGACCTTACTTCTTTCTAGAAGTTGTGAGCAGGGGCACTAGACAGCAGATAGATGATTTTGTTCTATTCTCTCAGCTTTCTCCACAAGGGAAGATGGCTTGCCGCAGCTTCTGCACTGGTGTCATCTCAGCTCACCACCAGAAGAGCTTTCTTCCATGGTTCCTTTAGCAAATTCCTTGGGAAGTGCTCTAATTGGGTCAGGTTGGGGTACGCACCTTCCTCCTCCCCATAGTTGACTGGATGGAGATTAGGAATTGGCAGCTTCATTACAGCCCCAAGATCAAAGTGGAAGAAAGGAGCTGGTGCTCAAAAGGAGAGATACGCGATTCCTAGAGTAAGCAGGTTCCAAAACAGACGTCCACCACAACCCCCAGTGGGTGGAAGCTCAGGGTCCTCAAATAAAGAACATTAAGGACAAACTGGTCTAAATGGGACCTCACTTATTCAGTAACTACCTCTTAGTAGTGCTGGGTCTTCAAGTCTCTCTTGGATTCAGCTGAGGCGCTGCATTCATGAGAGTGCAGGAATATCTTCAAGAACTGCATTTTCCTTTGTAGTTTTTCCATGATGGGGAGGATTTTATACCTTGGTGTGAGCTGCAAATTACCTAGTCTCTGTCTGGTCCTCCAACCTCTCCTTATAATGGCATTAGGCTTTTGATCACCAGTTCTGGAGGAAGCTTGCTCCTGAGTCCTGGAGAAGGATAGCACACTGCATCTTCCCAGTCCTTTAGCCTGAACTTGGACAGTACTGTGGGCACCATCTCAGATGAAGCAACCTGTGTGGCTTGATCCCATGGGCTCATTACGCCTTTCTGCTTTCATCCAGCAACAATGGTGAGTGGGCCCTTGTTCCGAAAGGCTGCCTACCTGATGCAAACCTACCTCTTATATGTAAAACCAGCTCTGCTCATGCTCCCACTGCAGATGAGTTAGGAGCCTCCCTTCATCTACAAAGGGCTCTATATTCCATACTCTGGAAAAGCATCTTATTGCCCTACCCACCCACCCATGAGAGCACCCGGGACCCTCTTCAAGGAGGACTTCCCGAGCCATCCCATGGGCCTTCCCTGAGATAGAGTTTTTGTCTTGAGGACTTCAAATCTCTTTGGGGCTCATACTCCATGTTGAATTTAATCTTTGATAAATCGAGACCAAAAATACTTATTCTTCATGGGCAGAACAGGTGTTATTCAAATGAAGTCCCAGTCCTATCTTTTAAAAAAGCAATTAAACAAAATAGCTTTAAAATGCCTTAAAAATGTTCATATCCCTTGCTCCAGAAATCCACTTCTAGAAATCTGCCCCAAGGAAATAACTAGAAATGCTGACATATACTCCTGAACAAAGGAGGTTTTCTACAGAACTATTTGTAAGTGCAAAAATTTGAAACAGCCAAAAAATTCCAAACATAGGGAAGAAATACTCCTGAACAAAGGAGGTTTTCTACAGAACTATTTGTAAGTGCAAAAATTTGAAACAGCCAAACATAGGGAAGAAATACATAAAGTATGGTATTTTCATTGGAGGACATATTATTCAGCCATAAAAAATGATGTTTTAAAAGAATTTACTAACATAGGAAGACACTCAAGATATACTATTATATGACAAAAAAAGAGGAACCTAGTTATTAAAATAATGTATAGTACATGCATAGAACTAGAAAGAAACACACCAAAATGTTAATAGTTTAATTTCTAGGCATGGAATTATGAGGATTTTTTTTCTCATACTTTTCTGTATTTTCCAAATTTCTATAATAGATGTTATTACTTTTCTAATCAGGGGGGAAAGGACCTTTTTTGTTTTGTTTTTGAGTGAGACAAAGAGCTGCTGTTGAAACAGTCTTCCTAAGAACGTTCTTTGGCAGGATCGTCAGAGTGAAAATCTTTACTAGGCTTAGAGTGGGGAGGGGTTCCAGAACACATACCACTCCCCTCTCCCAGACGACACTCATGCGGTCCTGCACGCCGCTCACTCCGTGCGGGATCTTGGTGAAGTCCTCCTTGCCCATAGCTTTCTGCTTTGTGGTGAACGGCCGGTGATCTGATGCCACAATGTTCAGAGTGTCACTGAGTAGAGAGAAGGAAGAGGAAGTGATCAGTAAGGGAGGGGAGGACAGGACCCCAGAGGCTGGGGACAGGTACAGGGAAAAAGCCTTGGCTTGGAAACCAGGCAAAGCTGATTCCAGTCTCGCCTCTGCCACTTAGTGGCTGTGTGGCTCTAATGACTTATTTCATCTGTGTGAACCTCAGTTTGCTCATCCGTAAGGATGGGAGTTATGTGTGGAGTGTGGCACAGACTGTTGAGTCAAAGGAGTGAAACTTCAGTGACAGTCTTTGGGATGGCAATTTTTAAGAGTTAAGATAGTGGGCAGAGAAAAATTGAACTTAGAGTTTAGCTAAAGTGAGATGGTGGCAGTGGTTTTAGTGTCACAGAATCATATGCCAACTCCCACCCATCAGTCCCCACCAGTTTAAACATTCATAAGTGCAATGTTAAGCTTTGCTAAACAACTTGGAGCCAGAGCCCTCCTTCCTTGGATGTGGGGCGCTGATGGCCCCGAAAGGAAAGGAGAGACAAGACAGAAAAGAAGTCTGACTTTATAAACCAATAATACATGCAAGTCAGTTGGTTCATCACCGACAATGCCATTCTTGACCTCGGCTCTCAGACAGTTATCAAAGCCATTCTCCACACAAGGTAGCGTGTGGCTTAGGCATGGCCAGGCTCTCCAGGTACTCCTGGGCCAGCTAAGACTCAGGGCAGGACAGTGAGAGAGGCACATGGCCGCAGACCCTCTGCCAAAGAGGGAGGCGGCCAGCCAGGGTTCAGAGGTCTTTATAGGTCAAGGGCTCAGAGGCATGAGGGGCAGAGGCGAGAGAAAACCCACATTGCCAGGCGGGGCAGCCTTGGCAGGAAGTACCCCTGGAGGGTAGGGAGGGGCCTGGCTGCAGCAGGGGGGCCCCGTGGGGGAGGGGACAACTGCTGGGGCCACACAACGGGGGCCTGAGCGTCAGGTGCAGGAGTCTAATTTCACTCTGTAGGAGGCACCAAAGCCTTGCGAGTGCATGTGGGCCATCAAAGATGACACTTCAGAAGGGGAATCTGGCAGCCAAAGGTGTTATTTGACTTGGTGAGGAGGCATATTCTCTCAGCTCTCAGGCGATTCCCGGTCAGGCTGCACATAGGGCTGTATCCCCAGGGCCCCAGGCCTCATCCGTCACAGCTCTTGCCAGATGACGAACATCCTCGGCCAGCTCCACAGGAAGATGACTTAGCTCTTTCTGTGCTATAGACTGATATTTCCTGGGCTGCAGAGAGTGCAGAAGAAACTCTCCCACAGAGCAGACGTGCGTTCCACAGCCCCTGAGGGATCCCCACACCGTCCACACCTGCAAACCTCACCAAAGAATGGAATCTTTGGGTTTCATTTTCTCCTCAGGGGCCCTCCAGATACCTGGGCAGGTCTTAGATCAGAAGAGGTGCCCTTCACAGAATCACAGGCTGCAGGTCAGGGACCTGGGAGCAGGGGCTCAACTTCCACTTCTTAACCAACAAGTCTTACTAAGCACGTAACTTTCCAAAAAGGCTCTTGCACAAGTAGTGCCTGCTAAGTAGGTGTGAATGGATGTGGTCACAGTCCAGAAGGACTTTCGAGGTCTCCCTGTGCTACCCTGAATCTGGGAGATAGAAAACCCCCATTCAAACTCTTTAAAGTTTAAAACACTCTTTGTCAAGTACTTGAAAATTTTACATGTTTAAATAAAAAAAAAAACTTCTGAGTTGATTTTGGTATATGGCAAGAGGTACAGGTCTAGTTTCATTCTTCTACATATGGTTGTCCAGTTTTCCCAGAACCATTTATTGAAGAGGCAGTCTTTTCCCCAATGTATGTTCTTGGTACCTTTGTCACAGATCAGTTGGCTGTAAGTATATGGGTTGATTTCTGGGTTCTATATTCTGTTCCATTGGTCTGTGTGTCTACTTTGATGCCAGTACCATGCTGTTTTGGTTACTATAGCTTTGTAGTATAATTTGAAGCCAGGCAGTGTTATGCCTCTGACTTTATTTTTTTGCTTGGGTAAGTATATGGGTTGATTTCTGGGTTCTATATTCTGTTCCATTGGTCTGTGTGTCTACTTTAATGCCAGTACCATGCTGTTTTGGTTACTATAGCTTTGTAGTATAATTTGAAGCCAGGCAGTGTTATGCCTCTGACTTTATTTTTTGCTTGAGAATGCTTTGTTTGGGGTCTTTTGCTGTTCCATATGAATGTTAGGATTGTTTTTTCTATTTCTGTGAAAAATGTCATTGGTATTTTGATGGGGATTGTGTTGAATCTGTAGATCACTTTGGGTAGTATGTACATGAATCTGTAGATCACGTTGGGTAGTATGTACAACCTGAAATTATAAAACTCCTAAAAGAAAACATAGGGGGAACACTTAAGGAAGTAGGACTGGCCAAAGACTTTATGAATATGATTCCTAAAGCACAGGCAACAAAAGGAAAAATAAACAAATAGGACTATATCAAACTAAAAAGCTTCTGCACAGCAAAAGAAA